ACGTTAGGAATGCCACTACCACTAGCAGATTACAGTTAGCACGTTCCGATCGCATTGTTCGTGAAATGACATACCTATTGGCCAGTGGGAACTGGGAATCTAATGCGAGATAATTTAGTCAGTAGCAGATACAGATATAGGTACGACCAGGCAGGTGTGTTTCATTTTTATGGCATAAGCCGGTAAACGAGCAGACGGATCACCTGATGGTAAGCAATCGGCGTCGCCCATAGACACCCGGAACACCAGAGGCGTTACAAGTGTGTTACCGGCCTTTTGGGGAACTAGGAGTTTGATGAATCCCCAACGATCCCGTTGAGGATTCAGGAATTGGGGAGATTGGGGAAGGGGAGGGTAATTGGGCCTCCGGTAACCTTACTCACACGACGAAACACAACGCAAGCGTTGCTTCACGTCTGTTTTCTGTGAGGCCGTGGTCCCATTCGTGCCGAAGCATGACTCTCCCACACTTAAGCTATTCTGATTTCGATTTTATCGTTTTAATATAGAGTTTAAAGTCGATGAGTGATCACAATCATCATCTACAGTCTTTGACTCTGAGAGTCCACTGCTGGAGCTACGAGCCTCCTCCACCTATAAACGAAGGGTTTGGCACGATCTCCACGTTTAGCAGTTTCTTCTAATATGAATGTTTAAATTCCTTTTCCTGTCGCAGGTCTGCAGGAAGAAATTCCTTAGGGGATATGCAGTACCTATGTATCTCATGCTTGTAATGTGTTGTCCTTTGTAATATTGTCTGTGTGGTGTAGGTACATGAAATGATAAATAAATAAATAAATAAGTAAATGACACTGTTTTGAGATAAAATGGACCTTTCTATTTGGTTTTGTACCTTTAAAACCTACCTGCCTTAAAATAACATAAAAGCTGTGATTCCATAAACAAAATGCAAATTTAAATTTCTTAAAACAATCGTTTTAGCGTCTGCGTAAACGTAAGTAAGTCAATACGTCTTAGGTATGTAAGTAAATTGGTATAATCAATAATGACCGAAGTACCTACATAGTCGAAATATCTCTGTTTATAACGTGATCTCTGACATCATATTGATATCAGAATGTCTAAAAACATATTTTATTTACTTCTTGTTTTGTTATCAATTTTATGCGACATTGTGCCGGATAAACTAAAATTTTTATATATATATTTATTTTTAAAAACGTTGCCCCACACTAGGATTTTCTCCTGTGTCGTGGGTGCGTTTACAAACATACAAGTTCACATACACATGACACCCAGACTTGAAACAACAATCTGTGGATCACACAAAGAATTGTTCCGTGCGGGAATCGAACCCGCGACACGTTGCGCAGCAGCCAGTTGCCCAGCCACCGCGCCAACCGTGCAGTTAATTATTATATCTACTGACTAATTATAATTACTGGAGTATTCGATTTTAACATGTGTTTAGTAGATACTAATATATTTTCTAACGATGATAACCTTTTTTTTAATTTGTCGTCTATCTCTCTCAAGGGTTATCTAATAAAGCAATAAAAGTTTTTTTTAGAAATCTAATTTTGTTTTAATCTGTAGGTACTTACGTAAACTATGTGTGTTAAGGTTACACTAGTCGATATTTTTTCCATAGAAAGTTCGGGGTGTTATTACTCCACAGTGTGAATTTGTATCTCCAAAATTAAACACGACAACGTTTTATCTTGTAATTACATTTGTCGGTACGGAAACAAAAAAAAAATAAAACACACGATTAAAAAGTTATGAGCCACCAAAGTTTTGTTTTTCATGACAATTTTGACGCAACTTTGGGTGTTAAAAAGTACCACTAATCGTGTAAAATGTCCAAACCGTAGACCGTACCGACACAGCACAATTACCAGAGAGTTCTATAAAATTTATTTGAAATTGATCTAAGCAGTGGTTTTTTCAAAAATCGCTTTTTTCTAAAGCACTAAATCGTACTTTTATACGCACTCGTTTTACGATGAATTATCGTGCATTTCATTTGATAAAATTCCCCCGGCAGCGGCGCGGGGCGGAGGGAAGACGCTCACGCGTTTTTGCACAATTTTTTGCACGACAGCGCGTGTCGTGCAAATCATTTGACTATTTTCTATTGTTTTGGACTCGGTCGATTTAGTTTAGTCTGCTGCTGTGGCCTACGTGGTTTGTATCGTATGTGTAGACTATTCTCCTTACCCTTATCTTACGACTGGAGCTTTGCGACCGGTGCGGTGGTGTGGTGTCGATAGGTAGGATAGGAGTAGGTCTAAACCTACACAAGATGCCCTTTATACGATGACACGATCGTACCCTATTTATTAGGTAGGTAGGTACTAAGGTGTTATTCGCGGTACGTAAGTTGAACAAAAATATAATTGTTAGTTATCAACGAAGCCACGAGTAAGTACCTACCTACCTATATAAAAGCTTGTAAGTAAACTGTCCGTAGGTAGGTATTATAGTGCGAGGTGTACGATACTTATATTATTTATCGTAAAATCGATATACCTATACTAAACAATGTAAATATATTGCAGTGTCAGTTTGTACCAAATATTAAAATACCATCCTACATAGATTTTTTCATACACACACTGCTATTTGCACGATAAGTAGGTAAAAAAAAATACTTATTCCTTTGGACATAGGTACCTACGTATAACAAACAGAAAGACAGATAGACAGAAAAAACAAATAAATAGTTTTTAAACCCATTTTTTATTTATTTATTTTTGTATACTGTGTACTGCCTCGTTGACCGAGTGGTCGTAAGTGCGACTGCCGGGCAAGGGTTCTCGGGTTCGATTCCCGGGTCGGGCAAAGTATTACTGGGTTTTTAAATATCCTCAGTAGTAGCACGGAGTCTGGAATTATGCCCGGTATATGGCAATAGGCTCATCCCCTATTACATGGGACTCATAACATAAATAGTGAAAAGTGGGTGTTACATTGTACAGTGGTATACCTAATGTGCACCTCTGCCTACCCCTTCGGGAATAAAAAGGCGTGATGTTATGTTATGTGTTATGTCATTTTTGTATTTTTCCTATTTATTTTTCCGTCTGTCTGTCTTTCTATTTGTTCAGGTCAATGTTCAATTCGGCTGGACCGAATTGATATTTTACTAGCAGGTACACTACGTTTACGTACCTACGGTATGCTTGTTTAGCCATCCTTCCTAATAATACCTAAGTAATAATAATATTCCACAACTATCACACAACTCTGTAGGTACCTACCCTGTCCAGTCCCAAACTAAGCAGAGCTTGTGTTATGTGTAGGTACCTACTTGACAACAGATATACATACTTAGAGGTATATTTCTAAATATTTACATAATATTATAATTAGATAAAAACACCCAGACAGAAGAAATGATCATGCTTATTATAAATCAAACTTTACCTCTTTAGGCTCTTTATAATAAATTCTTGTAGATTACCGCAAGTAGGAATATTGATAATATCAACGGGCAACCGCCAAGCCGAATGTTTTCGCACAAAATACATAGGTACAGAAGTCAATCTCATGTAGGTATGTACCTGCTTCACTGTTTATACCTACGTGCTCGAGCGCGCTTTGTATGTAGTTATACCATAGAACTAACTAGGTACCTTTATATTTTGTGGCTATCGCGCTCCGTGAGAACTCGATTGGGGATGTCAACTATACTTTTTATTACGTTTCTTACTTTATTTTTAGCAAGTAAACATACTTTTAGGTAATTACCTACTTTTACGAAAACTAAACAAATACAACAAATATTTTAGGTACCTATTAGGTTTAGTAGGTACATAATTGTACCTACTGTAGCGTACATACATACTTATTGTAGGTACATACATAATTATTGGTACTTAGAAAAAAAAAGTAACTGGTTACCTACAGAATTACATCCCTAGCCTTTCGTAGATTCTTCAGATATTGTGTTATCAACTTTTCATAAAAAAATTTCAGTCAACTATTGTCACAGGGCATTGTAATTAACAATGCCCTGTGACAATAATTACTAAAATTCATGCGAGCATCATAAAATCGTAGCAGCGCGTACGACTTTACTACGAGTAAACACACACAGCACAGATATATGCACCGTTCAATGACGTTTTGCTGTGTTTGTGTGCGTGCGAACAATACGTCGTGCAAATAGATAGCGTCTAACTGCTCATTACTGGTACTATTTCTGTCGCACACGATGTTAGATGAGACAGCGCGCTTTTTGGCCACGCCCTTGATTGAGTTCGAGCCCGCGACTAGTTTAACCTTAACTTTACCTTGTAAATATTTTTATTTTAACATAATTTCGTTTTTCAAATTGTGGAAAGTTTTAATTTCTTTTTATCGAATGTACCTCTAGAAAAAACATGAAGATTTTTAGTCACCTAACTAACTACCTACTTTTGTTTTCTACGGTAGTCCACGATAAAATCGTAGACACATGTGGTGTGGTACACACAGACAATAATACTTATGAACAATAAACTGATTATGACCGTAACAATATTTATGTAATTAATTTTACAGTGTCCTAACTAGTTTTCAGCCCGGTTTCACCTTCCCTCGCTATAGAATTCACAGAATTTTATCGAGCGAGCGTACGGCGCGTCGCTTTCCGCGCGCGCCTCAAGGAGCCATCAAGGACCACCACGGATGAAGCACATTTGGGCTGATACGGAGCTGCGGAGGGCTTAAAGGGTTGCCGGGGCTCCGGCTCAAAGTGCAGGAGTAGGAACGGGGTGGTTTTTACTCAGTAAGAGTCTGACACTCCCTCTTGGCTTATCCAGGCAGGAGAAGGCATTGGATAATTTTCCATCTTCAAAAAAAAAGTTGCAGGGATATGTAGATAGGCTTTAGTGAGTATTCATCATCAGAGATTACAGTTAGAGAACATAAACGAACCGACAAACAATCCTCTCCTCTTTACGATATTAGTAAATTATATCACATCGTTAAATCACAGTTATTATGATGGGATTCACTTTTTTGGCAGTCCAACGCTCGTATTGTACAATACAATGATTACAGTAATCACATGTGTTACAACACTACTGTGTTTAATTATCTGGTTTCTATTAAAATGGAGGAAAGTGAAAAATTTTTGGGCTGACAGGGGCGTTCCTCATTATTCCCCGCATCCCATTTTCGGTAGTCTCACGTTTTTGCAGCGGAAAAATCCTGTAAGTGATTTAATTTTTAGACATAGCTTTGACTGTGACGATGTAGTTGTAGTCTTGGTACAATATAGTATTTGCAATGGTAATTTCTTGACGAGTTCTAAAATAAGGTTTTTAATTTTTTTAAGAAACGATTTCTTCCTACACGTTGTAGATTTATTAATCCCAAAATTGCTAGAAATAAATTTATAAAATGTATCCTCAGGCAGTATGGATGAAGCAAGTTTACAACGAGTTCAAATCACCATACGTCGGTATGTGGGCATTCTGGAGACCAGGTCTGGGGATCAACTGCCCAGACTTGGCCAGGAAGGTGCTGGTCAAAAACCATGAAGTGTTCAAGAACAGATTCTTGAGTTCTGGGAAGTCAGACCCGATTGGGGGTCTTAATTTGTTTACTGTAAATGTGAGTATAGTGATTTATATTGTAATTCTTATTGGACGAACTTGTGACGTAGACGCTTAGTTTTGTGTTAAGCAGATCAGGGAATCATGTGACATGCAATAAATATTATAGAATAAGTTACTTTTTTATACTAGATAGGTTGATATTTGACCACCATCTTGTTAACTGTTAGTAACTGTGTTTTGAATAGAATAGAATCTTAATCTTTAATTCTTAATTAGGATGATGACAGGGTATGAAAATTAAAAATCTAATTAGTCTGTAAGTTAGGTAAGTAAAAAATATTAAACACGTATTTTTTTATTTTCTCGTATAAAGTACCTAATAGGTACTTAGAAAAAATGGCGCTAGGTTTAGGAGTGGGAGGTTGTTACGTCATAACGTGCCACAAATTGTGGCACGCTGTGATGACACACGATATTTTAAATTAATAGTAGTAAGTATTTAATTTTGTGAGAACAGATAAATTACGTGTCTAAAGTTTTAAATTAATGTACCAGACGGGCATTAAAATAAAATTTAGGAAACTACCCTTTTCCTGTTCACTACCGGTTATAGACCTTCCCAATAACACGAGTCATACAATTTTTAGTTTTATGCATAAAAAAAATATTAAAAGTAGGTACCTATAAAGGAAGGAAATATTGCAAACGAAGGTTATCGCCAATTTCGAGGGCACACGTTATTCCCCCAGAATTTAATCATGTAATACACAAATAGTAGGTATGTTATGATTTGTTTTTATCAGTGTACCTATTATAATTAAAGTTACCTACCAAAACGAAGATAATACACGCAATACATAATATTTTATTTCATGATGTGATAACTCTCAAAAAAAAAAACTGCCTCGTTGGCCGAGTGTTCGCAAGTGCGACTGGGTAAGAAGTCTCGGGTTCGATTCCCGTGTCGGGCAAAGTATTACTGGGCTTTTAAAAAAAAATATCAGTTGTAGCACGGAGTCTGGAATTATACCCGGTATAATATGGCAATAGGCCATTGTACAGTGGCATTAAGTGTCGTAATGTGCACCTCTGCCTACCCCTTCGGGGATAAAAGGCGTGATGTTATGCATAGGATTGGAATAAGCAAATATACTTTAAAATGTTTTGTTCTAATTGGAATAAATGATTCTGACTTTGACTTTGATTGGCTTAAACGACTAAGTAAGCTATCAATGTCCACAACTACAATACTTAATTTCATATAAGCAAATAACCTTGACATTAATTTGAAAGAAAGAGAAAAATAATGTATTCGATATGATAAAATTTCCAAGAGAGCTTTATCACTTCAACATCAAAACCGCTCGAGCTCAACCACGCTATAGTTTTAAACCACTACATCTTTTTTGAAGAAACAAATCTCAATCTTAATGATGCATGGACAGACTAAACTAAAAAAAAAGATAACCGATAACCGATCAAAGAATTCGTCGTGTGAGTGAGATTACCGGAGGCCTTCCTTATCTCCTCAATTCCTGAATCCCCAACGATCCTCAAACTCCTAATCCCCAAAAAGCCGGTAACGCACTTGTAACGCCTCTGATGTTCCAGGTGTCCATATGAGCGACGCCGATTGCGTACCATCAGGTGATCTGTCCGCTCGTTTACCGGCTTAACCCATAAAAAAAGATACCATCTTAGCAAAAATTTAAAACAACTCCCTAATAAATAAAATATCTTTTAGAACCCAAGCAAAACCACACAAAATCCCATCACACGGTGTTTAAGCAGTAAAGCGGGGTTTTCCATAACAAATGACAGTCTACATCTTGTAGTAAGCCGCTGGCTTGTCGTGTTACACGGCTTGCCAACTCGAAGCCGATACAAGCATTACATGTCGTAGTAGGACAGTAACAAATGCGGCCATTATAGCTTTATTGACACAGTAATAAAGACGGAGTTTGTTCGAAATTGAATGTGATGATGCATTTTTAAGTTTGTTAGCGTGGGTCAGGTATGTTATCGTAGGGTTTTGCGGTTGATTACTGATGAAAGTGGTTTAAAAATGAGCCCATAAGTAGGTTGAGTAATACAAGTTGAAAAAACCAGACTTACTTTAATACTTCTCCCAAATTAAAATCCAGGACTCCGGGAACCGCAATTCACAGTGAACAAAAATAATTTAGACTACAATTTGTTGTAATAAAAAAAATATTTTTTGTCTACAGGATCCAACCTGGTCCTTTCTAAGACGACGTCTAACAATACTCTTTACGGCAGCTCGACTGAGAAGCCTAAACAGCTTACTATCAGCCAAATCCAATGATTTGATAAAGCGGATCAGAGATGACATGTCCAATAAAGATCCTCTTAACTTGAGGGTAAGTGATATATTGAATTAAAATTAAGTATGGCTGAGTCATACTTGGGCCGGTTCGACTAGAATGATACCATGGGCTTACAGAAAACCGACGTGAAGTAATGCTTACGTTGTGTTTCTTCGCGTTAGTGAGGTTATCGGAGGCCCGATCACACACCCTCTCCCCATTCCTAGATACCTCAACAATCCTCAAATTCCTAATGCCCAAAAGTCCGGTAACGCACTTGTAACGCCTGTGGTATTCCGGGTCTCCATGGACGGCGCCCATTGCTTATCAACAGGTGATCTGTCTGTTAGTTTACCGGCTTATCCTACCAAAAAAAATACTAGAAGATATACTACAAAAATCTTGTCTATAGTATTTTAGAAAATAGTGAAAATCAAATAGACTTTCTTCCCTTTTCTACGGGCTTAACTATTGCAGTATTATAACTGAGATTATTTCCTTCCATCATACCTAATCCACAGGTCCTATGCTCAGACTTTACAACAGACGTAATAGGAGAAGCTGCGTTTGGTCTCACCAGTGAGTCAGTCAGGACTGGTGATAGCCTGATGAGGAGAATCACCAAGGAGTTTGTCAAATTCAACCTTCATAGAGGATTGTGTTGGTCCAGTATCTTCTTTTTTCCTGAAATGGTTGATGTTTTTAGGTGAGATTGAGTTCATAGGCTTTATTAATTACATGGTGGCTCGAAAGTTTAAGACGCGCTTCTCATGCTTGCGGGTGCGGGTTTGAAACCTATCAACGGCAAGTACCAATGTGACTTTTTCCGAGTTATATGTACTTTCTAAGAATATCTAGACACCACTAATAAACGGTGAAGGAAAACATTGTGAGGAAATCTAAGCTTATAATTTCTTATTATAAGTTTGTAATCGCCAATTAATCACCAAGCTTGCATTGAGCAAGCGTGGTGATTAATGCTCAAACCTTCTCCGTGAGAGCAGAGGCTTTGCTTAGCAGTGGGCATTTATAGGCTGTTGATGATGATGATGATTAATTACATAGTAAGTATTCCTTATTAAAAGGTCGGTAACACCATTGTGACTCCTCGAGTGTAGTGGGTGTCGCTTACCATGAGGGGCACCGTTTGCCCGTTTATTGCCTTCTATTCCGTAAAAAGAATACGCCATTATATACGATATTGTGACATACTTAATTACATTTATATCTTTTCCAGATTTTCCCTATTCCCGAAAGATTCATTAGAGGTTTTACGTCACATATTCAGAACTATAATAAACCAGAGAGGAGGTTATGAGAAGGAGGTCAAAGAATGCAGGGACCTCCTTGATGCTCTACTGAAGATCAGGCAAGAAGCTGCCGAGGATAACGAAGGTAATAACTTTTTAACATTATCGTCACTACATTATTATCGTTATCATTATAGACACTACTGGACCATGAGCACTTCAACTTTAAAGAGTCTTGCTACGCTTAGCAGGGTCGAGGTTGAGGTCGCAAGTCCTTTTAATGAGTTCTGACGACCCTCGCCCGAAGAGTATGAACAGTAACAAATGAATTTTGCTTTAATTCTATTCTACCATACATCACTACATATGTGTTCTGTCGTGGCGGCCCGTAGGTTTAGACCCCGGTTCTTATGAGTGAGGATGCGGGTTCGATACCTACCAACAGCAAGTACCAATGTGACGTTTTCCGAGTTATATGTACTTTCTCAGATAATTTAGTCACTACTGAGAAACGGTGAAGGAAAAAAAAATTGTAGGTTGTTGATGATATGGCTGTTGGTGTGATGTGTATGTTAACTTGTATGTTTGTAAACGCAACCACAACACAGGAGACCATACTAGTGTGGGGTAACGTTTAAAAAGCTAGCTAGCTAGCTGAATGATGATGATGACACATCACTACAGTGTAATGTGATGTAAAAATTTTATTTGTAAACCTACATCACCACAGCATAAGGTATTTAAACTTTATTCTAATTACATAACATAACATCACGCCTTTTATCCCTAAAGGGGTAGGCAGAAGTGCACACAGAAGTTACACCCACTTTTCACTAATTATGTTATGAGTCCCATGTAATAGGGGGTGAGCCTATTGCCATATATCGGGCACAATTCCAGACTTGGTGTTACTACTGAACTTTTTTTTTAAAACCCGATATATACTTTGCACGACCTGGGAATCGAAACCGAGACCCCTTGCCCGGCAGTCGCACTTGCGACCACTCGGCTAACGAGGCAGTAAATGTAAAATTTTTATTTGTAAACCTACATCCCCACAACATTAGATATTTATTTAAACTCTATTCTAATTGTTTTCTTAAATCTTCCTTTAACAAAAACGATTACACAGTTTCACATCAAATTTTACGAAGAACTTGAGTGCAACTAGCAACTATTACTAATATACTAACTGTAACTTAGAAAACTAAAGTTTAACTACACCGGAAGCGTTCACATGTTAGTTTGAACTCAAAATGACGTTGAAGAACAAGCGATAACTTTGAACGCGATGAAACTTCAGTTAATTTTAACTTGCTTGCTTGCTCTTTCTTCGTATATGTGATGTGTGTATTAAAAATTGAATGAAACTGAGTTGGAGTCAGTTCCTACTGTTTTTATAATAACTATCGTGAGACTTAAATACTAAATTAACTAAAAATTACGGGTTACTCACGTGAATATACTGAGAAATACTCTACTAGTTTCGAGCTACAGAGGGGCTCTTCCTCATGAGCAACGTGTGCGGTCGCGGCGATGTCATGCACACATTGAGGCACACATGAGGAAGAGCCCCTCTGTGGCTCGAAACTAGTAGAGTATTTCTCAGTATATTCACGTGAGGACCCCGCAATTTTTAGTTAATTTCTACTGTATTAGGAAAAGCTGGGATTATTTTATTAACCGATTTAAAAAAAAAACGTATTTACGGTCGAAACGGAGCAAACGCTAACGCGGTGGTAGAAGTTAGTACTACAATGATGACTTCCAAAATGTTTCAATTTTTCTAGTACCTACCCTATATAATTATAGATTTTTTTTCTAGAGATTAGTGAGGATTTATTACTTGCTCAGGCCGCCATCTTCCTTCTGGGAGGTTTCGACACTTCAGGGGTAACATTGACGTGGACTTTGTATGAACTGGCTTGGAATCCGCTGTGTCAGGTACAATTCTTTCATTCCTTAGAATATAATATAAATTATAAATAGTTACATATATACTTTTGCATATTTTTACATACATAACATCACACCATTTACCCCCGAAGGGGTAGGCAGAGGTGCACATTACACCACTTAATGTAATAACACCCACTTTTCACTATTTATGTTACGAGTCCCATGTAATAGGGGGTGAGCCTATTGCCATATACTGGGCACAATTCCAGACTCCGTGCTACTGAGATTTTTTTTAAAAACCTAGTATTACTTTGCCCGACACTTGCGACCACTCGGCCGACAAGGCAGTATTTAAAATTATCTTTGAAATATATCCGATATTTTGCAGTGATGTTTTTGGCAGCAGAATCGGGTGTCAGTTTAAAAATAACTTCCCGACTTAACCATTAACATATTAATTAATGCATCGCCATTCAAAAATGTGGCGGAATATAATGAATATTAATACCGTATGTAAAGTTGACGCCTTTTTAACGCTTGATGGGGTAGACAGAGCTGACAGTTGTGGCTGACTTTATACATTTTTGGCTGAAGTGAAAACGACTGATAAAGTAATATATTAAGTATCGCCCTCGTTATCATGTGATAAAAAGTAGCCTTTGAACACATAGGGTAGATCATGGTCTTTTTTTAGGGAAGAAAATTCATCATCATTCATCCTACGACTTCTCCCGCCTGGGTGAGACGGGAGGGAGTGTCAGACTCTTACTGACTAAAAACCACCCCGTTTCTACTCTTGCACTTCGAGCCGGAGCCCCGGTAAACCATTAAGTCTTCCGCGGCTCAGGGTAGATTATGATCTGGCATAACAATTCTAAACCACAATCTGTCTCTGTTTAAAATTTCGTCTCGATCCCTTCACCCGTTTTTACGTGAGGCAACAAACACACACACAAACTCCTCACAGACTTTCGCATTTATAATATTGTTGGGAATCTTAGAAGGTAGAAGAAAATTTAGTTCGGTATAAACGGCATGTTGAGTGCATAACCGCGCTCATTCGTTCGAGATTCGTCAGACCGGCAATATGCTTGTTCTAGCTACCAATATTTCTTTGTTACATAGTTTGTTAATTTTAGGTTCAATAACTTTGTCACAATTATCTAGTCATTCTTATTAAAATAACATACCTTTTTATCCCCGAAGGGGTAGACAGAGGTATCGTTCTAATTACATTTTGCTTAAAGTTTGCCGTAGTATTTTTATTCTTAAAACATAAGTTTTCACCCGGTTTCTAATCTAATAATATATATATAAGTGTAGTGTAGGGTATCTACAAGTGTACTCAAGTAAGTGTGGAAAGCATTGCCTGTTATACGTCTATTTATCACTTCTGAGAATAAAATACGTTATCTTGTGTTAGGACATTTTTGGGTAAACGACAAGAACATGTTTTTTTGGTCTCTTCAGTTTATATAAGGTTTTTTTATAGGAGCGACTGTATCAAGAACTTTTGGACGCAAAACAAAAGAACGGTGGCATGGATTTGGACGCTAGTTCTCTTGCTGAACTGACATATATTAACTGTGTTATAAAAGGTAACTTATTTATTTAATCGCCAGCAACTCGACACACAGATTTTTAACTAAATAGGGTAGTTTCCAGGGTAAGAAAATTAAAAATCTAATTAGTCCGTCAGTTAGATAATGAAAAAATATTAGACACGTATTTTTTTATTTTCTCGTACAAAGTTACAATACTTAAATAAAATGGCGTTAAGTTTAGGAGTGCGAGGTAATTACGTAAGAACATGGTACATTTTGTAGCACGCTGTGACGTCACGCGACATTTCAAATCAATATATCGTCAAAAGCGTTTAATTTTGTGAGAAAAGAAAAAATACGTGTCTAATGTTTTAAAATAATCTACCAGACGGACATTAAAATAAAATTTAGGAAACTAACCTATTCTAGAATCTTAGAAGGCTGAAGAATCAAAACGATAGCTTATGCATAGGTACCCCATGTGATAAATAAAAACATTCAATTATTCCCAAAAAGGCGAAATGATCTTTATTTTTATTCAAATTTATCTAAAATTAAATTGATCTAAAATCAGATCTAAAATTAAATTACAGAGGCATTACGCAAATTCCCTTCAATGGGTTGGTTGGACCGCATTGCATCACAAGACTACAAAATCGACGAGAATCTAACTATACCCAAGGGAACAGTGGTGTATGTGAATGCGGTGGGAATGCAGCAAGATCCTAAGTACTTCCCGAACCCTCAGATATATAATCCTGACCGGTTCCTTCCAGAAAATGAGAGAAATATTACTCCTTATACGTTTTTACCTTTCGGAGATGGACCAAGGGGTTGCATTGGTGAGTCATTTAATTTCTTGAAGAATTTTTTATGTACCTACTAGCTTTTACCCGCGGCTTCGCTCGCGTCACAAAAGAATAAAAAGTAGCCTATGTGACATATACCAATACACACAGCGCCATCTATACCAATACTTTTGTTTTTCCTCGGGAATATCAATTTTTTCCGGGTTAAAAAGTGCCCTATTATTTAATCCGGACTTCTAACTTTAAGTCTGCAAAAATTCAAAGCAATCGGTTGAGTAGTTACGGCGTGAAGGTGAAACAAACAAACAAACAAACAAACAAACTCACTTTCAGATTTATACCTAATATTAGTAAGGATTTGTTCTTGGCAAGGCAAGAGATCGCATGGACGTTCTCCAACGAGATACGATTCATCAAATAAAAGACTCGTCTTCAAAATTTTGCACGGCTGTAAGAGACGCGCTGAACAGAAACCGCTGGAAGTAGATCATTCGCTTCAGATGCAACACTTTTTTATACGGCATAAGCCTGAATAAAGCCTGATAGTAAGCAATTGGCGTCGCCCATTGACACCTGGAACACCAGAATCGTTACCTGGAACACCAAGTGCGTTAAAGGCCTTTTGGGGATTAGGAGTTTGAGGATCCGTAATCCTTTTGGGCCTATCACCTGCAGTTAATGTTGCCAATAAAGAACATTAGGTACAATAATTTACTTTCATATTATGTTCCAGGTAAACGCTTCGGCTATCAGACAGTCCGATGTGGATTGGCGGCCATTATACTCAATTATGAAATACGGGCCCTACCCAACATGCCGAAGCCAAACGAGTGTCATATTGAAAAGAATGGACTCTTCCTAGGTCCAGACAAGAAACTTTCTATAGAATTTAGACTTAGGAATTAACGTTATATGTTTTATGGTAAGCAGATGTGCTCATAATGAATGTAATAAGTAGTTTTCGTCTGTTGCAAGACTTGTGAGTCCTGTGTTATTAAGTTGGAGCGAGTCTCTTGTTATAAATATTCGTTTTATTATCGTGTTTTATTGATTTTTTGAAATATAAATAATCCTTTAGTTGTATTGTAACTTTAGTGAGACATACTAAATAAATTATTATGTTTTCGGCTTACTCACGTAATAATTTGACGAGGAACTCGACTAGTTTCAAGCCATGCTAGAGGCGCTCAGCGCGACAGTCGCCGCGTCGCGGGCCGCGAAATGCTGCTCATGAATATGAGCCTCTAGCATGGCTTGCAACTAGTCGAGTTCCTCGTCAAATTATTACGTGAGTAAGCCGAAAACATAATAATTAATCCTTTAGTTTTACACTTTTATTTACATTATCAATATACCTAAGTGATGTCTTTATATCAGGTTTTCCTTGACTGGTTAGAACTGTAGTTAATTATTTAATGGTCTAGTTATTTATTTGTTCAGAATGCAGGTATTTACAATAAGGTGATATTAAAATACTAATAAGGAATCCTTGTACATTCTACCATTTTGGAACGCAAAAATTGATGCAGGTTCATCATCAGACATATTATGACACAGATACAATTTATCAGCAAAATAATCAGACACAGAGTAATAACATTTTTTAACAAGAGTACTGTATTTTTATTTTTTAAATTGTTTGCGGTTCTTTTTTAGTGAAATAAGAATGCGGTTAAAAATAGCCGGACACTTTTCGTCAGTAGAGCAATCTTATTCCTGGGCGTAACAAGTTTTGGTATTGAGATCGCAAAGTTATATCGCGGTGTCTGCCTTCCGATGAAATCACAAACAATTACTGATTACATTTAACAAAAAGAAAAATGTCAACAGTCGAATTGAGAACCTCCTCCTTTTTTTTGAAGTCGGTTTAAAATTGGAACACGGCTATCAGTAACCTTGACTACATTAACTAAAATCGCGGGTAACTCACGTGAATATACTGAGAAAAGCTCTACTAGTTTCGAACCACAGAGGGGTTCTTCCTCTTGAGTAAGCTAAGCGATATCGCCACGACCGCGCATTGTGCTCATGAGGAGGAACCCCTCTGTGGTTCGAAACTAGTAGAGCTTTTCACAGTATATTCACGTGAGTAACCCGCGATTTTAGTTAATTTAGTAAGTCTCACGATAGTTATTATAAAAACCTTCACTACCTTCAGTAACCACATTATTGTACACTTATGGATAGAATTACATAATAGTTTTTTTAATCATCGAACATATTCTATATAAAACCTCTTTGTTTAACAGACAACGTTGTAGCTATTCTACCAACAAGGCGGTATAATTTTAAAGTCAACAACAAAATCCAATTCACATTTTTATAAGTCTCATTTTCAATTCATCCTTTAGAAAAATCGGCTTACCGTCAAGCGAATGAAGCGCTCAGGAAAACCGTTTAGAAACACTTGAATATCTCACTAATAGCGGCTTATGGAAATTACTTCATTTAGAAGTTAGAATAATAATAATTTTCAACCAGGTTTTAACTATGGGAACTATTTCAAACTAGCAGATTTCCGTTACATCTAATCACTACAGTATACAGCAAAGACTGCCTCGTTGGCCGAGTGGTTGCAAATGTGACTGCCGGGCATGGGGTCTCGGGTTCGATTCCCGGGTCGGGCAAAGTATTACTGGGTTTTTAAAAATCTCAGTAGTAGCACGGAGTCTGGAAATGTGCCCGGTACATGGGCTCACCCCCTATTATTAAATAGTGAAAAGTGGGTGTTACATTGTACAGTGGCATTAAGTGCCGTAATGTGCTCCTCTGCCTACCCCTTAAGGGATAAAAAGGCGTGATGTTATGTTATCTTTATATACCTTTATGTGGCATGGATGGTATGGTATGGTATTTATTCTTCTAATTATAGCTTTTACATCGATATCGGCTACTGCATGTAACTACGGTCTACACCTGTATAACACCATAATTTCAAACACCACGACCGAGGTATTGCAATTCAAATAGTCCGGAAAATGACCCAATAAACACCGACCTATTAAAAACAAAGTTTAAACTTCCACTCATAATAAAAATTATAGTGAAACTTAGACAAATTTCCTGTAAAACTTAATTATTTCAAATTCACTGAATTACGAGACTCCGTGACCTTTTCATGGAGTTACGAACAAACAACTAACTTTTCATCACTATTGTATTGTTCGTAAAACTGTTTGCATCTAAAACTGGCTATGTGTGAATCGTGCTTAACTCAATGGCAAGACTCCGTGTTACTACTGAGATTTTAAAAACCCAGTAATACTTTGCCCGACGCGGGAATCGAACCCGAGACCCCTTGCCCGGCAATCGCACTTGTGACCACTCGGCCAACGAGGCAGTCATATAAAGGTATATGTTTTATTCAAATAGGATCAATAGGACCTATTTTTCAATCATCATTTAATTTTTAACTGGGGAATAAGTTTAAATATTTAACAATACTTCCATACTAAAAACTGTCAAATGTCAATTATACTACAGTTAAGAGTTTAACTGATGATTGAGAAATCGGCCCCATATATACATAACGATAGTTCATCATATCCTGCTTTTAAATTCGGCATACTAATACTTTAACAATAAGCCATAATACGAATTATGATTCAAACCCAAAGCAAAATAACCAAACTACAATTTTTGATAATGATTCCAAATTAAAACAACAATTAAATTATAATTTCCAATAAGCACTCCAATTGGGTATTTGCCATTTTAGTCAAAAACAGAATACTTTTTTCGAACTGTCAAAAACTACTGTTTTCTATGAATTTTGTACGAGATTGTGTATTGTGACGCCTGGCTTTTTAGAGTCAAACAGCATACTTATTTCTTAAAAATTTGCTGGAAAAATATTAAAATTAGGTTGGTCATCAGATCAATTAATGAGAGTGTGATTAGTTTTTAATATTTTATTGTATTGAACAGTCGAAATAATTTATTTTTGATAAAGTAAAGTACCCAATTTCAAATCAAAAATTAAACTAAAATGTCACTAAATAAAATTGGTTTATCAAGAATCGGAGTGACTGACGGACTATTATTAATTTTGTATATGTTGACGTTTTAAAGTAGCAAGTTATGGTTTAATTGAAATAAATCCTTTGACTTTGACTTTAAATCGACAGAGAGAAAAAAATGTACATATAATGTTATTTTAAATTGAAAGTAGCAACGTAGCTAAAGACAGCCGATTTGACTAAATTACTTGTTTTTAACGCTCTCATCGAGATGTAGTATATAAACATAGAATAAAACAAAATTAAAACAATAGTTACCCAGTACAGGTTACACAACACCGTGGTCAATTAATTGGAAAGTTGGTCGCAAAGTTTGTGGAGCAAATATTTTTATTGGACCAAATTTTCATTACGGTGAGGACACTCATTCAAATGAATTTTTGGTCCATCGACGCTTCGTGGTTGGAATAAAGCGGATGCCATTAATTAAACTTTAAAATTATTGGTCAAACAAATTTATGACGTGATCGATTTTTGTATCAATCCAATTACATGTTTTTATAATAACTATTGTGAGACATACTAAATTAAGTAAAATCGCGGGTTACTCATGTGAATATACTGAGAAAAGCTCTACTAGTTTCGAACCACAGAGGGGTTCTTCCTCATGAGCAGCGTGCACGGTCGCGGCAACGTCACGCGGCTCACTAATGAGTGAGCTGTGAGATTCACCAATTACATATTGGTGCTACTTGTAGTCAGCGGTTTTACTTGTGAAATCTGATCTTGTTGGTCATAAGTACTTCGTTAAGAGTGAATCTTCGTCAAGATTAGTATTCTCAGATGCAAAATAAGATAAAGGTTAACCTTTAATTAAGTTAAAAACATTTAAAATAAAGGCTTTAAAGCAATCTTTTTTGAAGATAATCAGTTACTAATGTGAAAATAAGGTTTTTTTATACCATAAGCTGGTAAACGAGCAGACGGATCACCTGATGGTAAGCAATCGGCGCCGCCCATGGACATTCGAAACACCAAGGCGTTAAAAGTGCGTTACCGGCCTTTTGGGAATTGGGAATTTGAGGATTGTGGAGGATTCGGGGATTCGGGAGACTAGGAAGGGGAGTAATTGGGCCTCCGGTAACCTCACTTACACGACGAAACACAACGCAAGCGTTGTTTCACGTCGGTTTTCTGTAAGGCCGTGGTATCACTCCGGTTGAGCCGGCCCATTCGTGCCGAAGCATGGCTCTCCCACACTTAATCATTTTCTGGTTATAATTTTTTTGGTAATATAGATTTTGTTTACACGTATTAGGTTGAAAACTGTTTTTAAATAATATAAAACACTAGATAATAATAATGCGTCACTATCCTCAGTAACCTATATCTTCTTACCAATGCGATTCGTATCTGTTTTCAGTCATTTAATTGTTCAATATTAAAAGTATCGATACCCAGTATCGGTATCGAGTATCAATGGCGGTGTGCAAAGAGATTATCCTGTACCCTCCATTAAAAACGAACCGATGTACATACCTAGGTACTCATCGTAAACACCAGTCAATCATGACCTTGCTTTTTATAATATATCCGTGTATTCGAAGGCCAGTTTATATTGGTTAGTATAGTTTGACGTGGAGTCGTGTATAATAATGAACCGCAAAGCGAATCCGATTAGGTATGTTTCTGTGAAAGCTTTTATTGTTCAATGCTATTTTTTACAGAACTAAATCTGCAATTGATATGTATTTATTTGTTTAAGTGTTTATCTTTATATATATAATTCTTCTGTAAGTGTGTATGTCACTGAACTTCTCTCAAACGACTGGACCGATTTTGATGAAATTTTTTGTGTGTGTTCAAGGGGATCTGGGAAAGGTTTAGATTCACAAATCAGCCCGGCAGATGGCGCTGCAGTCGATGTTTAGGTTATTTATCCTAAACAGC